AGGGGGTGCTTCTGGAAGTTTGGGCGGCACTGGGATGCTGAAGGGACGCAAGGGGAGACCCTGGGATGCTGAGGGGATGCAGCCAGGGTCTCAGGGATGCTGCAGACGGGGACGGCCTGGGGGGAGGCCAGAGGGGTTTTCCTGAAGCTGAAGACACCTTAGAGCGTGCTTAAGGGAATTAATGGGGCTGCTCTGAGGAGAGTTTGGGTTGCTGTGATGACCCATCACTGTTTTCTGGGAGGATGCCGGAGGATTGCTGGAGATTTTTGTGCTGTTGGGGGATTTTTTATTTTTTTTGGGGGGGGTAGGGTGGGTGAGCCATGCTCGGGACGGGATCTCGTACTCACGTCGGCGTTCTGGTAGGCGGTGACGGCGATGAACTGGGTCTCGGGGAAGGCGAAGGTGTGGGTGTGCGGGCAGGGGTACCCGTCCTCCCCCTCGCCCTCCTTCACCTCCGTGACGTGCAGCCGCGGCTGGTACTTGTGCAGCGACTGCAGCACGATCATCTGAGGGTGGGGGAAGAAAAAAAAAGGAGAAAAAAAAAAAGGGGGCAGCGAGAAATCAAGGAGAGGCTCACAGGGATCTAGCACATCGACGGGACCCTGCCCTCACCTGTCCGACGTTGTTGGAGGCCCCCTTGTTGTTGGTGAGCTTCAGCTTCCCGAAGGAAACCTCCTGCCGCATCCAGTGCGCGCCCGTGTTGGGAGAGTCGGGGTGCAGGTACAGGCGGTTCCCTGGGGAGGGGACAGAGGGGACAGCGTCACCGCCACCCCGCCGGCACCACGAGGGTGAGGAAAAGCCATGAAAAGCCCCGTACCTGGCATGTTGCCCTCGGCTTTCCCGCACTGCACCCATTTTCCACCCTGGTAGCGCCAGTGGTGTTGGTCCACCAGCACCACGTCCACGCAGACGCTGTAGTGAGCCACGGGGTTGAGCCCCGACAGGTTGAAGCTGAGGAAGGGGAACATGCGCCTGGGGAGGGGACAGAGGCACAGACATTGTCACAACCCCCCGCCCCGCTCGGCCCTCGGCGGAGATTTGGGTGGAGGGGTGATGATGGTGATGATGATGATGATGGTGATGATGATGGGGAAACTGAGGCAGCGCGGTGCCCCCCCCCTCCCCTGCGCCCGGCTGGGTGCCCGTGAGGAGCTGAGTGACCCCGGCAGCTGGGGGGATGCTGTCGGGGCCGATCCCCCCCTCCCCTCCCCTCCTCGGTATCTTCCTCCCCCTCCCCAAGCACCTTCCGGATCGGAAACCAACACCGCTGCTATTTCGGGCTGGGCGCCAGGCTGCGCCAAGGGCAGGAAGGGGACACGGTGGGACAGGGGGGGACCACAGGGTGGCAGCTGCCATCCCCCCCCCCACCCACCCATCTCCTCCCGGGGGGCTGCAGCCCGCGTTTCCCACAAAAATCCCGTCCCCTCAAATCGCAGAGCTGGGTTGGGAAATCTCTGCCGGCCGCTCTGTCCCATCGCTGACCACTCGCCCTCCAGTAGCCCCCCAGTAGCCCCCAGTGGCTCAGGAGCCTCCGGCCGTGGCTACGGGCACCGGTTCAGTCCCCACGTGGTTCTCCAGCCATGGAATTTTGGCAATTTTTGGAACCGCCGTGGCCGGAGCTGGACAGCAGAGTGTCCCCCCCCGCCAGCCCGTTAATGTCACCCCCAGGGGGAAATCACCACCGGACACCCCCCAAACCCGCACGGGGCATCTCCCACACCGCCGGAATATTCATCCCCAATTCCCGAGGGGAAAAGGGAGGGTCCGGGAGCTCACGGAGCTCCGGGAGCCCGGAGGGAGCGGGGTGGGGGGCGGGATCGGCCCTGGCCCCCGCAGGAAACGGGGCTCGGGCAGCACCGGGCAAAGAGCAGTGGAAAGAAAAGTCAGCGGGTGGCGGCTGACTCAAAATTGCCCTTGCGAGAGAGTGGGGAATAGAAAAAGAAAGAGAAAAAAAAAAAAGATGGAAAAAATAGAAAGAGAAAGAAAGAAAAAAAAAAACGAGAAGAAAAGAATAAAAAATAGAAAAAGAAAAGTGAATAAAACGAAGAACGAAGATTAAGAAAACGAAGATTAAGAAAAAGAATGGGGGGGGAAGGAAGAGATAAGAAAAGAAGAAGAAAATAGAGAGAAAAAGAAAAAGAAGAAAAAATAAGAGAGAAGAGAAAGAAGGAAAAAAGAAGAGGAAAACTGAAGAAGAATCACGAGGAGAAGAGGAAGAGGGAGAAGATAAAGAAGACTAAAACCAAGAATCTAAAAACAGTAAGAAGAAGAATAAGAAGAAGATAAAGAAAAAAGATAAATTAAAAGACAAAGATTAAAAGAGAAAGCAGCGGCCGTGGTGAGGAGCTGCACGTGCTCCTCGCCTTCGGGACCGACGCTGGCCCTGAGCATCCCGGGGTCCCCCCGACCCCATTTTCCCCTTTGTGTCCCCAAAAGGCTCCGTCCCTTGGGGCTCACGTCTCCTCTGGAGCGCGGAAAGCGGAGTTCCAGCTGATAAAAAAACTTCAGCCACATAAAAAACCACCCGGGTACCACCGGAGCCCTGAGCCGAAATAATCGGGCCGAGTTCCCAGCGCTGCTGCTGCTGCACCAGCCCGAGCTGCTGCAAGGAGCAGAGATGAAGAAAACAGCTTTTTTGGGGCTGTTCGGTTTATAATTTTTTTTTTTTTTTTTCGCTCTTTTTGCGCCTTCCCCGGCTCTGCCAGCGGAGCAGCCGGCGAAGCTCGGAGCTCAAACGCTGCTCTGCTGCCGTGGGGAAACCGCACGGGCCCGGCCGGGCACGGCAGGGTGGGGGCAAGACCCGAAACCGCGCTCGCCTCGCCTTTATTTTTAAATCCCCCGGTGCTCGAACTCCGGCTCGGGCAGAACTCGGCGCCCCGGGGTTCGGTCATTGCGGTTTGGGAGGTGCCCACCCCCAAAGAATAAAAACTAAAAAAAAAAAAAAAATAAAGAAGGGTGGGCACCGCTGGTTTCAGGCTTTGAGGGTTTTGTTTTGTCCTTGTGTGAACCCCTCGGTTCGGGGCGTCGCGGGGACACCGAGGGGACAGCTGGTGACAGTGTGGTGGTGGTGGGGACAGGGAGCAGGGTGGGCCCAGGGGAGGTGCAGGAGCTCAGAGCCCCCCTCCCCCAGGCAGCAGAGGCTCGGCCGCCCCCCGCCCCCGGCAGGCACGGGGGGGCTGCGGCTTCCTGAGCCTCCTCCTCCTCCTCCTCCTCCTCCTCCTCCCCCCACGGCGACAGCGCGGGGACCGCAGGAGCCACCACGGGTGTGTGGGACATGTCCCAGCCCCCCTGCAAGGCACAGGTGTAGGGCTGGGTGACATTGTGTGGTGGCACCACAAGGGTGGCATGGTGTGGTGGCACTGCAATTCATGGCACGGTGACATGGCACGGTGACATGGCGTGGTGACAGAGCAATGCATGGAACGGTGACATGCATGGTGACACATCAATGCCTGGCACGGTGACATGGCACGGTGACATGCATGGTGACACATCAATGCGTGGCACAGTGGCACAGCAATGGACAGTATGGTGACATGGCATGGTGACATGGAAAGGTGACACATCAATGCGTGGCACGGTGACATGGCATGGTGACACACCAATTAATGGCACCGTGACATGGCATGGTGACACACCAATTAATGGCACCGTGACATGGCATGGTGACACATCAATGCCTGGCACGGTGACATGGCACAGTGACATGGCATGGTGACACATCAATACATGGCACGGTGACACGGAACACCCGCTGGACACGGGTGACACGGCAATGCCCACCATGGTGCCACAGCACGGTGGCACAGCGGGACGAGTCCCGGTGACACGGCACAGCTGTTGTGGCACCGCACATCTGCACAGCACAGCTGCACTGCCCGCTGAGGGTGACAGGGCACAGCTGAATGTCACGGTGACAAGTGACAACATGGCCGCACCAGCCCTGCCGAGCTGCCGGCCGGGCACTGAGTGTCCCCAAAGCCACTGCCAGCCCCGAGTGTCCCCAAAAGGCGCTGCCAGCTCTGGTGTCCCTCTTCATTCACGGCCACCCCTCAAATCAAAGCCACCCGTGGTGTTTGTGTCCCCAAAGCCACCCCCAGCGTCCTCCCCGAAGGAAAAGCCGTGCCTTGTGTCCCCAAACTCAGAGAGAGCCCCTGAACCCCGAAAAGGCAGCGCTGAGTCACCCCCAAGGGCAAGGACAGCCCTTATGTGTCCCCAAATGACAGGGACAGCCCCTTGTGCCCACTCGAAATGCAAATCCAGCCCCTCGTGTAACCCCAAAAAGCAGATCCAGCCCTCTGTGTAACCCCAAAATTTTTTTTTTGTGTAACCCTAAAAGGCAGGGCCACCCCCTGAGCACCCCCGAAATGCAAAGACAAGCCCTGTGTCACCCCAAAAGACAGGGCCAGCCCCTGAGCACCCCTAAAACGCAAAGCCAGGCCCTGTATCACCCCAAAAGGTCCCTGAGCACCCCCAAATTGCAGAGCCAGCCCCGACCCCGCCGCAGAACCCCACGGCAGGAATTCCCCGTGCCCGTGGGTGCCGGCGAGTCCTCGGGGTTTTCCAAAAATCCTTCCCTGCCGAACCCCGAGAGGCGCGGGGGACCGAGGGGGGGACGGGGACAGGAGTGGGAAACCGGCAGGAAATGGTCTGGACTGGGATGGGATGGCTCGGGACACTGGGACAGCAGCAAAAGTGTCACCAAGGTAAATCCCAGTGCCTGGCCAGCTTCACCCCAGTGCCACCATGTCCCCTCCAAAAACCTCGACCCCTCCTCGGGGGTCCTCGGGGGGGCTGCACCCCATCAGTGCTGAGGAACCAGCGGGATCCAGAGCCAGCAGCGGGATGGGATCGTGTCCCCTCGCCCTGCCCCAGAGCCCCCCCAGCCTGGCAGGTCCCTGCTTTGGGGTTCAGGTGCCCCTCGGGTCCCCGTTTGGGGTTCACGTCCCCCCTTCGAGCGCCGCTCTGGGGTTTTTTTTTTCCTGTGTCTGAGCAGCGCTGCAGCCCGGCCCTGCAAGGCGAGGGCTGCAAAGAAAAAAAAAAAAAAAGAGCAGCTCAGGGTAGGGGGAAACGGATGTTTTGTGGCTCGGAGTTTGAGGTTCTCCACGGGCTTGGGCTTGTCGTGAGCCCCCCCCTGCACAGAACGAGCCCCCCGAGCTCACAGCCCCTCGGTCGTGGGGGATGGAGTTGGGAAAAAATCCCCAAAACCGCCTGGTTTTAGGCTGGGTGATGAAAGCAGAGGTGCAGCAGCAGGGCAAGGTGGGGACGGGATTTTGGGGCCACTGCAATTTCCAGACCCTCAACACCAGATCCTGACACAGCAGGGGAGAACATTCCCCCAGCTGGGAAAGAGAGGAGAAAAAGGGGAGAGGAAAAAAAAAAAAATAAAATCTGAATTTCAGCACATTCCTGCAAGGCCTGAAGGGTGACGGGTAACAAACAACAATTTGGGGTGCCTGCCACCCCCTGGGTGACACTTGGGGACGTGTCACCGCATCCGTGCTGGTTGGCTCGGAGCATCCCCGAGCGCAGCCGGGGGAGCGGGGCCGGGCACGGCCGTGGCAAACCAAGCGGCCTTAACGTGTTTAGACTTCCAACACATTAAACAGGTTGGGCTCAGCATCGAAGTGACACCGAGCGAGCCCGGGGACAGCCCCGGCGCTGGCTGGGCAGAAAGAGACCCCCTGGGCTCGGGGATGGGGCTGGGCAGGGGGGGCAGAGCGGCAGGAGGGGTTGGGGAGGGGTCTGTGCCAGCTGCTGTGGGCACAGCGGGGGGGATGCAGCCCTGGTTTTCCCCTTGGCACGGGGATTTTTGGGAACCCTTCGGGATGAGCTGAGCTCTGTGTCCGGCCCTGCCGTGATCCCATTGAGACCCCCCCACCCTCTCCCCACAAAGCTCAGCCCCCAAGGTCTGGTTCCCCTCATCTTCATCAGCCCAAAGTGGGGCTGAAGGACGGGTTTAACATTTTGGGCTCCCTTTGCCTCAAGTCGTGGCGGCTCCACGGTCCCACAGGGTCTGTATGGCACTCAGACCACCCCCCCCAAATTTGTGTTTTGGCAAACCCCCCAAAAATCGCCCAGTCCTGGGATCCTGCAGCCCAGACCGGAGGCAGCACGGAGGGGACAGCGAGCTCCCGGCTGTGGCGTCACCGAGGGCGTTTTTGGCAGCCAAGATGTGGCCAAAACTGGTCACACACTGGGCAGCCGAGCTCTGCCCGCCCCACAGAGCAGCTGGGGGGGGTCCCACCCCACAGAGGGGACAGGGACAGGGAGTGTCACCCACCCTCCCACGGCGCTGTGGGGTGGCAGCAGCTCCTCACCACTTGTTGCAGCGCCGAGCTCCGGATCCGGCCCGTGGGTTGAGGCCGGATCAAAGCTCCCTGCAAGGCCCCTGGCAGCGACAGCACCTCTGCCACCTTCCTGACACCCCTGTCCCTCCCTGGTACAGGTGGGGACACCCCCAGACCCTTTTTATCCTTCCCACAAGCCTCAACTCCCCAGGGAAACAACACCAAGCGACGTCTGGGATGATTTGCCTCCCCCTCCCAGGCTTTTCTTGAAACCCAAGGGGGGGATGGGGGTCCACAAACACCTCCCACCCTTTGGAGGAGACGAGGCAGGACCCCCTCAGTCCCTCTCGGTCTGTCCCACCCCCCTCACTGCCGGTGTCCCCACCCCCGCACCCCCCGCCACCCCCGTGCGGGTCCCGGTGGCGCTGCCGGTCTCTGTCGCGGTGCCCCTGTCCCCGTCCCCCCGGTGCTCTCAGGTTCCCCTCGGTGTCCCCACTTTGTCCCCTCCGCTTCCCTGTCCCCGCCGATCCTCTGTCCCGGTGCGCTCCAGTCCATCCCAGTCCCTCCCAGTATCCCAGTCCCGGTTCCCCCCGGTGCTCCTCGGCTCTCCGGTCCTCCCTTAGATCCCTCCCCGGTCCCCCCGGCTCACCTGCCCTGTTTGGTGATGATCATCTCGGTCTGGTGCTTGTGGAACTTGGCCCAGAGCTGGTAATTGTTGAGCATCACCTGCACCTTCCCGGCCGCCCGGTACCCGGGCAGGGCACAGAGCGGGGGGCACAGCGGAGCCCCCCCGCCTCCAAAACCTCCCTCGGCACCGGCATAACCTTCCACCGGAGCGGCGGGAGGCGGCGGTGCCCGGTACGGAGGGCACGGACCCAAGAACCGGCCACCAAAACCCCCGGGAGCTCCGTAAGGGAGAGGGGGGGCTCCCGGTTCCGGTCCTCCCCCGTCACCGAAAAAAGCAGCGGCGGCGTCCCGGGGTCCCGGTGGTTCCTTGGCGAAGCTGGCGGCGGTGCTGAGCATGGGGGCGACGGGCCGGGGGGCTCCGGTGCCCGGCTCCAGCGCGCCCATGGACGGGCGGGGGGCACCGGCCCCGCTCAGCCGCTCATGGGGGTCCCCGGGACAGCCCCCAAGGGGGTCAGCGCTGCCCGCTTGGCCGAGCTCCCACCGCCCCCTCCATGCCCGGTGGTCCCGGGTTGGGTCTCCAAGAGGTGACGAGCCGGGGACAACCAAGAGGGAGCGAGGAGAAAAAAAAAAAAAAAAAAAAAAAAAAAACCAAAAAACCCGACCCAGCAAAAAATACCCTAAAAAAGCCGGAAAAACCCAAAAAGTGCCGTGAGTGGGGTGCTGTGCGCTGCCGGTGCCGGTGCCCTCACACGCTCCACCTGCCCATCCCCGTGGCCCCGCGCTTCTTATCCAAAGAAGCGGCTCGGCACGGCAGCTCCGCCCCAAAATCCCACCCCCGCTGGGGCGGCCCCGAAGCGGGGCGGGCCGGGGGCGGGTCGGGGGCCACGCGGGGACCGCGACACGCGGGGAGAGAGGGGACGGGGCTGGCGACACGTGGAGGGGACGTGGGGCACGGGAGGGAGGAGATGGGGGACACGGGAGGGGACAAGGGACAGCGTGGGGACGGAGTGACAAAGTGGGGGGGCCCACGCTCCTGCTCGTGCTTTGGGGCTCTGGGGGGACGCAGGGAAGGGATCATTGGTGTCCTCCCCTACTCCGGTGTCACTGCAGGGGTGACACGCCTGAGGGGTCGGTCCCTTCCCCTTCTGCTGTTTTTGGGGTGGTCTGAGATTCCCCACGAAGCTCAGCCACCCCGTGCCCACCCCGAGGCCAGGCCTTCCCGGCACCTGTCCTTGACCCCGCTGTGCCTGGGGAAGTCCCGGTGTCCCCTGGAGCCACCACCGAGGCATTTGGCTCTGCCCCGGCCGCTTCCCTTGGCGCACTCCCAGCTCGGCTCCCGTCAATACTTTCCATTCCCAGTGGGGCAGCGCCGCACTGGGGGAGGGTGCGGGGGGTGGCTCGGTGACCCCCCGACCGCTCCCACAGCGCACGGAAGGACGGGTGGCACTGTCGCTGTCCCCCCTTCCGGCAGCCGGGCTCCTTCCCCACACCTGCGGGACCCCTCTGGAGCTGCGGTGGGGAAGGAGGAAAAGGGGGGGACCCACAGCTGAGCCCCCCCTGGGTCAGCGGGGATGGCCCGGGGACAGAGGGAGCAGCTGGGGACAGGGGACAGGGGACAAGGATGGGGACAGGGATGGGAATGGGGATAGAAATAGAGACAAGGGATTGGGATGGGGACAAGGGACAAGGGATAGGACTGGAGACGGGGACAGGGACAAGGGACAGCGATGGGGAAAAGGACAGGAATGGGAATGGGGATAGGACAGGCAGGACTGGAGATGGGGACAGGGACAATGGACAGGAACAGGGGTGGGGAAAGGGACGGGAATGGGGACAGGGAAAAGGATGGGAACAANATGGGGATAGAAATAGAGACAAGGGATTGGGATGGGGACAAGGGACAAGGGATAGGACTGGAGACGGGGACAGGGACAAGGGACAGCGATGGGGATAGGAACAGGGAGAGGGATGGGGAGGGGACAGGCAGGACTGGAGATGGGGACAGGGACAATGGACAGGAACAGGGGTGGGGAAAGGGACGGGAATGGGGACAGGGAAAAGGATGGGAACAAGGTGGCAGGAATGAGGTTGGAAGTGGGATGGGGACAGGGGACAGAACTGGGGATAGGGATAGGAATGGGGAAAAGGGACAGGAATGGGAATGGGGACAGGATTGAGATGGGAACACGGATGAGGATGACAGGGGTGGAGATGGGGACACAGAATAGGATGGGGACAGGGATGAAGATGCTGCCCGGGACGGGGACGGGGACGGGTCAGACACAGGGACAGGGACGAGGAATGGGGACAGCCCCGCTGTCCCAGCTGTGGAGAAGGAGGAAATGGGGAGTTAAGGATGCACAGAGCGGCCGTGGGGGGTGGATGGACGGGAGGAGGGGACCCCCGGGTCGGGGCAGGCTCGGGGGTGTCCCGGGGGTTGTGTATTGGCCCGGCAGACACAGCTTAGCAGCCATTCGGGCCGGCCTTTCAGCGGTGCCATTGTTCAGAGGGGTCCCGGCCTTCATCCTCTATGCAAAGCCCCCCCTGCTGACCCCCACCGACCCCCTCCCCACACTTTTCCGGCTCTCTGAGGTTGGCAGTGGGGACAGCATCCAATTGTCCCCACCCTCCCGGGACACCCCCAGACCGCCAGGGCGCTGCCACCCCCTCCCAACGCACCGAGCAGGGACCCCCCTGCCGAGCTCGCGAGTGAGAAAAAGAAGGAAAACAAAGAAATTTCCAGAATTATTTCTTTCTAGGAGGGGAAATAAAAGCCGGAGGGGGGTTAAGGATGGGGGAGAGAGACTCATTAACGGGAGGGGGAGGAAAACGAGCACTGAGACACAAGTGCTCCTGACGTCACCTCGTGCTAATTCATTCCCGTTTTACCATCGCCGCCGAGGATAAATTCACAGGGACACCCCCCCCGCTGCGGGATCAGCCCGCGTGGCCACCCAGAGGGTGTCGGGCTCGCCACTGTCCCCGCCGTGCCCACAGCTGGGGACCTGCCACCTCCAGCCTGCGGGTCCCCGTCGTGGATGGTGCCACCAGCGGGGTCCGGAGGGGCGGGACGAGGAGCGTGGCCCTGTCCTCAGGATGTCACGCCCTTGAGTCACGGTAAAGTGACACCAGGGACACTGGAAGACGCGGCAGGACTCCTGGGGAGATGGTTGTCACAAGTGTCCCCGAACTCGAGCAGGGCCAGGAGGGCCAGGAGGGACAGGAGGGACGGGAGCCGTGTCCTGACCGTCACCTTGAACAGCCCCCACCTGTCCCATTGCTCTGGGACATCCCGGACACCTCTGGGACACAGAGTGTCCCTTGGGATGGGACAGTCCGAGGGGCCTGAGCTCGGCCCCCCACAAGGAGTGACCACCGGGATTTGGGGTCCGACCCCTCCCCACAGCCGCGCATCCTCACCCGCAGAGCAGGAGCGCAGGAGCTCCGGGACATCCTGGGGTTAAATCCCAGCCCCGTGCCTCAGTTTCCCTTGCGGGGGTGGCTGTCGCACATCCGATTGTCCCCGGTGGGGACCGCTGGTGGCCGAGGCCAGCACCGTGTGGCCACCGTGTCCGGTCCCTCCTGGCCACCCGTGTGACTTCGGGCGTTCGCACAGAGGGGCCGGGAGGAAGTGGTTCGGCTGCAGGATACGCCCTGGGGCTGGGGACACTTTTGTCACCACGGGCCACATCCCAAAGTGGCGGTGTCCATGCCCAGCAGGATTCCCGGGATCCCAAATCCCTTGAGCCAACCCCGTTCCTCAGTTTCTCCCATCCCTGGGGTCTCCAGCGCCGCCGCGGGATGGGGGTTGGATTATCCCGGGTTTGTGGGGGGATTATCCCGGATGTCCCCTGTCACCTCCGGGGAATGTCACCATCCCGCATGTCCCCGCTCCTGGGCATCATCCCGCTGCACCCAGCCGGGGGTGAAATTCTGAAGTCCCTAAAGTGTCCCCAAACGCCGCTGGCTGTCCCCACACCTCCCTCCAGCCCAGCCCCCAGGCAGGTTCTGCCTCTGCCGTGGAATTTGGCTTCTGAGCACCGAGGGGAAACTTGGGGGTAATTTTCTTAGTCAATGGCATCGTTCCTGTTTTCATTATTAAAATGAGCGCGAGGGCACCGGGCACCCGCTGGGGGCTAAATTTGGTCTCAGGGAAAACCAAAAACGCTGCCCCCACCCCGGAGGAATTTGCATCTCGCTGCTGCTCGAAGGCAGCGCGGTGCCGAGCGGTTCATGGAGGCATGAATTACAAACCGCAGGGCCCCCGGCCCGGCCCGGCCACCTGCCACCCACCCCGGGGACCCCCGGGGCCACCTGCCACCCACCCCGGGGACCCCCGGAGCCACCTGCCACCCACCCCGGGGACCCCCGGAGCCACCTGCCACCCACCCCGGGGACCCCCGGGGCCGCATCCGCCGCCCACCTGCAGCCAGAGCCGGGTGGGAGGGACGGAGCCGCATCCCCGGTTCCTCCCGAGCCGTGCCCTGGAGCAGAGCGATGCTGGGAGCCTTCCCAAAATCCCCCCTGGGCTCCCACCCCTCCTGTCCCAAGCAGTTTGTCCCCTCCCCAAAGCCCCAAATCCCGGCCAGGTCCCCCGCCACCAACAATGTCACGACTGAGTCACGGCTGAGGAAATCGAGTCACGCCCGGTGACGAGTGGGCAACAGGCAGAGCCAGTGGTGGGTTTGGGGGGGCTCCGATCCCCCCGTGGAGGGTCCCCTCATGCTGCACCCCGGATCTGTCACCCCCCCTCTCCCTGCCCCACACCACCCCCTCTTTGGGGGACCCCCACGGGGGAGGGGTCCGGAGGGAAGGGGGGGGAGCGGGGGAGGGGTCGTGGCGAGCCCGTTTCTCCTTGAGGACCCTCGAAAAACCCCCTGCCCAAATCCCGAGCGGCGCTGGGAGGATGCTCAGCCCCAGCAGGAAAGGGGGGCACCCAAGGGTGACAGGAGTGGGCGTCCCTTCCCCAGCGCTCCCAGGGCCAGGCCTGGGCCAGCCGGGGGTGACAATTCGGTGACAGCTCCGCCAGGGCCGGGGGGTGGGGTTGGGTCAGCGGCCCGGGGAGGGCGAGCAGACGGCTCCTTAATCTCGGGGAAGGAAGCGGCTCT